ATTTTCTCACAAAAATTTTCTCAGCAAACAAACACATTAAAACTAACTGAGAAAATAAATTTTCCTTTTCTCATCCCAACATTTCTCATCCCATCCTTTCTCAGTCCAATTTTCTTAGCAATCAAACAGACCCTAAGAAACGTATGCATGTCTCTTTGAACCCCTTTTCCCTAAAAAAGACATGCATGTGGTCAATTAATAGATCACATGATATGCACATGACCTGTTTGGATTCATTTGCATAAATATGAATCGGATTAGATTCTTTGCCCATTAGATTTGGGTTGGATCAGACTTGGACTATTTGCTTATGGGCCCATATTGTATTGAGTTGGATTGGACCATAAATCAGTCCATTGACAGCCCTATTGATAATAGTCCATATAGTCAATTAGGGCATTGACAACAATTATGAATGAATTGGTTGCAATAGGAGTTTCACGTTTCATTACAAATGACAACTCAAATTGGGTTACAATTGGCCCAATAGATATCCCCTACCTGTACCCATGCAAGAATAATGTTTTGACATAGGAACTTAGGGGTAGAAGTGAAGGATCCTGGTATTACCCATGCAAGAATCATGTTTTAACATCAGAAAGAAAATGATAGAACAGAAGTGTAACGAGAGTCTATTAGATTTTCCCCATTAATAAAGTTCTGGTTCAAATGTTTTGTTTGAAACAAAATTAAGTATGTATATGAAGCAAATAGGAAAAGAACATAATGATCAAACAACAATTGCTTACCTGGCCTTTAGACTATAGTTTGATGATGTCCCACCATTCGCAATTATCTATTTTGGAGGAGATGACATCCCAAACAATTGCTTACCTATCATTTGCCTCATAACAAGAAACTACACAAGACCATAGATGATCATCCTCCCATCAAGGAGATCAGCTTTAGTTAGAACAAAATCCGTTCGAATACTGTTCGAACAGCCTTTATAGCCTTGCATCGGGAATATCTCCGTACTTCTATGTTTTATTTGATGGGGAGATATTCCCAATGCAAGGCTATGATGGCTGTTCGAATGGACTTTGCTCTGACTGAATCCTGTTTCCCCATCAAGACCATAGATTGTACGTTCCACGCTTGTGCAGTTATGATTCCTCACTAAAGTGTTACCCTTTACAAAGTAACAAACTAAATAGAAAGAAACACACTTTAAAAGCAGTTGCATAGGTCATGACATCACCACTTCCATCAAATGGACCAATTCGATCTAAATCTGTCTCTCACCTCTCAGTTGTCAAACAGTGTTGCTACTCTTACACACTGAAAGGAAGTGTTTCAAATTTCCAAATACCACCTTAGTGGTTTTTGCAACTCTTGGAGTTCATACATGCAGATGGTTTCTCCTTTGGTGGCAATAGCTTTAGCTGCCTTCTCTCTCTCTCTCTCTCTCTCTCCTTGTAAACCCCCACCCAATCAAAGAATCTGCAACTCTATCATCTAGGCAGTACATTCTCTTGCTTGGTAGTTATGCATATGAAGCTATGACACCCATGCTGAACCTAATTTGCACCCAATTCTGCGAGTTCTTGGAATCAGGGTAATTATCAAAATAAGTTCTTGGAATTAGAGTGGCTTTTAGATTTCCCAGGGAATACTGCCATTTATAATTTGTTGGAATCAAGGTGGAAGCTGAACTTGAGTCAATTATCTCCTCTTAGAATGCACCTAAGAGATCATGAACTAATGGTAATGCTTACTTCAACATATACTTTCACAAACAATTGAAGCCAGATAATATCAACTTAAGAATAACTTCTATGAGATCTCTGAAGCATTGTATCTTTAGTAAGCATACAACAACCTTCACACCAACTCTAAGAGAATGCATTTAAGAGGCAAAAAATCAGAGCAGTATAGTACTGCTATATATGTTGAAAGAAAACTTAATAAAGCTATTGAAATTTTCAATTGCTTTTAGAAGTGTGGTATTGCAAATGGTTTTATTAGGGGTTCCTAGTGGTTATTTTCAGTTTTCACAAAGAAAGTCATAACTTATTGTTTTCCTGTTTATTCAAGGTTGTAGTTGCACTTGGTTTTGCTAAAAGGAATTTCAATGCTTTAAAATTTGTTTCATTTCCTTTTTTTTTTTCACTTTACCTTCTTTGCCTAATCTCCCCATCCTAGTGGAAACAACTCAGCTCATGCTGATGAAATGATGCCTTTGAGGAAAGTATTTTGTTCTTTTTTCCCCTTAGTTGACATGTCTTGTTTTTCCCTTGGGTCATGTTTGATGCCTTCAATGAAGCCTCACAATTCATATTTGTATTAGTTGGTTGCAGAATATTACCTCAATTGTCTTAATCACCAACCACCTGATTTGCCTCAAACAATGGCTTTGTTGCATGAGTGGCTCACGTTGTGTGCCACTACAAACATGCTCATCAAAATCACATTCATTTGTGATGGTGAGGCCAATTTCATCAGATATCATCCCATGTGACCAAAAGAACTTGTAAGTTGTAGGGATGCCCCTATCAAGCTTGAGAAGTAGATTCCCAATCTATATATATATATATAAAGAGGCTGAGATTAAAAATACCCCTGAACATTCACCTTGGACACCAAATAGATAATAATTCACATACAAATATACAAAAGAGTAGTTTTAAAATTTACAAAGTTATCTTACAGCTACTCCTTTGATGTTAATGAAACCTGTTAGGAAAAAAAAGGAACCAACTCTGTGAAGGCACCCCCACCAACGAAGGAACCACCCAGACCTGAATAAAGAAAATTCTCAGTAACATTATGTATGCATTGGACCTATTAAGTTACTTTAGAACTGTTACCTCCTACGGTACTACTTAAACAGACAAGATCTGATACACTTCCTTTTTCCAGGGCTGGATGCTTTAAACATGTTACAGAGGAAACATCTTTTAATAGGGCATTCTTCATTTGGAAATTCTTAATATAAGAAGGCCTCTGAGGACTATTTTTCCTTGGCTTCTTGTCTAAATCAACATCCTGAGGCAAGAATTCAGTTAGTTCTAAGAATCCCAAGATAAACATTCATAGCTTTTAGGTTATATTTTATTCAGAGCTCTAATTGTTGCAGAAGTTGGTCATCTAAAACTCTGATCAACATCAACTGTGAGAGGTAGTATGGGAAGAAAAAATGCCTATATTAATATTATTCCTTTTAATTATTAAAAAATAGTTACTTTATATGAGATCAAAACAGAGCATTATTTATATGTAGCATTTTTAAGCATTCCAAATCACAATCAGTCCGTTTGCAGAAGCAGTGGACGACACCCGGTAGGCGATTCATGGCCGCTGCCTTATGCCTAAGAGTGTTTGAAAGCTAATTAAAACTTAAGATGGTTAAAAATAAGGGGAAGGAAAAATAGACTAGCGAATTCATAACACAGTGCATATCCAACAACAGAAAAGAACACCTAAGGCTGAAATGCAGAGAGATTAATGGAACATGCATGGAGCAAGGTACCGACCAGCTGACATCTTGAGGATGAAAACGAAAAGTTCCTTAGAGATACCACATTGATCAGTTAGTGTAGTGTCCAAGAACCCAGAAGTTGAGATCATTTCTTAGAGTTAATTAGAGGAGATAATTTCAAAAACTGATCAGAGCTCTGCATGCATGAAAGAACAGAGCAGCTGCTGTAGTGGTGTTGGAAACCAGCTGCTGTGCGTAGCTACGTACCTGATCCGGAACAAGAGAGATATTCCCAATGTGCAACTAACCATGGATGACAAGGCCACAAACCTCCTTTGTTTCTCAAAATTTTTCTACTTTGGATGGACAGTGTGCATCTGCGATCTCTGACTTATCTCTCTCTCTCTCTCTCTCTCTCTGCAATTTCCTTGTTTTCTTCTTGTTCCTTCCTCTTTGAGCAGTGTGAAGTGTCAACAGACACCATAACCATAGCTCGGGGAAGAAAGAAAGAAGAATCACCAACAAAAAAATCTCTTTTAGGTCCAAACTACACACAACAGTGATTGGGTGAATTGGACCAATTTCTTTATTTATGGGACCTCTTGCCTACTCAGCTTGACTAGACCCATGGCAATGGCATTGTTTGTTGTCTCAGAACCTTATCTATGGGTGATCAAGTCGTAGCCATTGACATACTTGATGCATCTCCTGATTGATTGATATCCTGAGGATTCAGATACAATGTAGTTTTGTGCTTTAGATTTTAATGAACTTTCTGGCATTAATGTTTGAACTTCTCTCTGTAAAGATAAAAACATATATAATAACACAATATACAAGAGCTCTACTTCTGATCCGCACAGTTAAAATCAGGAGCTTACAGCATTTTTTCATATGGAAAACTTCCAAATCCTTTTTTCTTCTTTCAATTTTCAAATAAGGGTTTTCCCTACACTTATTCACAGCTGGGCTGGGCTTTGCCTCTTTGTTAACAGAAGAAAATGACTAGCTCAAGCCTGAACTTGGCCCAACCATTGGGGCTTGGATCTGCTACCCACGAGCTCTTCTCACATCTAAATCCGTGAGACATTACAGCTGCGAAGCGGGAACATCTTCCTTGTCATTCAAGGGGAGATGGAGATGTTCCCAATACACAGTGGTGGTGATCTGTGCGTAAGGATGTGAGAAGCAGATCCGGAATGCAACTATTGGACCTAGATTTTGAGCCCAAGCCTAAAACGTATCCCATATGGATGATCGTGAACTTAATGCCTTGTACTATGGTATACACTAATCAATAATGGATCAATACATGATGTGCGGACACAGATCAAGTTGGAATGTGTTGAAAGTGATTTTTATTGACAAGCTTTTGGTGTTAGGTGTTCTTGATTTTCAGGGGTTGGGATCTCCTAACCTAGGGTGGATTTGAGCCAAATCGAGTCGAGCCAAATAGTATGAGGCTCGAGACTGTTCTACAAGGCTCAAGCTCGAGCTCGGTTCAAGACAGAACCTTGAGTTCGAGTTCGGCTCGAGTAAAAAATTCATAAGCTCGAGCTTGATTTTGAGAAAAAATGTTTTATAAAAATAAAAAATTATATATAAAATATTTTTTATTTGATATTTAAAAATTAAGAATTATAATATTTTTATTATATATATTATTTTCTATAATTTTATTATATATATATATATATATATATTCGAGACGGCTCGCGAGCCTCACGACGAGCCAAGTTCTAATAGGCTCGAGCTCGGATCTTTGCCACCCCTATCTCCTACCAATAGAATACATACCAATTTTATCTAACATTTTTATCATGAGATTGAGACCCACCATAAAAGTGATAAAGTGAGATCTGCCACGAATGAGAAATGCAGTGTCAAGTCATGCTAGTACTTGGTAGGCTATGGAGACCGGATCTGCTCCTCACACAGGGCGCCTCACATGCACATCCTACCATGCATTGGGAACATCTCCCATACTAATTAATTATTATTCACAAGAGATGTTCTCAATGCATGGAGGATGTGCATGTGAGGCACCCATTCATGAGGAGTCTCGATGGAATGTATTTTGTTGGCAAGTGATTGTTGGAGTTTGGATTTGCTCCTCACATAGCATGTTTCAAAGCATGTCTTGGCCGGTCCCGTAGTTATATTTATCGGGGCAAATCTCTTAAACTACCTCTAATGTTCACCAAAATTGGCATTCACGAACTGTACTCTTAAGGTTTAGATATTGGCTTGCCGTATCCTTAAATTTTATCACAATTCACATGCAGTCAAACACGAAATTGACAAATATTGAATTTGCCTTTCACTATTCATCCAAATTTCAAAATAAAACCCAATTGACTGTATAGACCAGTTCATTGCTCTTCGTGGGAGAGGATGCCGGTGTTTCCGTCGTCACTATAATTGCCACTGGTGTTCCCCTTCAAACACTTCTCACTTCTCCAACAATCCGAACCCATCATCAACTCATCCTAAGTCTCATATCAACTTAGAGAATACAGAGCTCAAATGGTAAAGCCAAGCTGTTCAAAGGGGCACCGTAGCGGCGGAAGCTTCCGGTGGGGATGAGATGAATTTGGCGGGTGGTCGTTCAAGCTACTGTGATCTCAAGAAGCTCGAAGCCGAGTCAAAACCAGCAGCAACGAACACCATGCTTGCCAACAGCCGCAGCAATTGCCAATGCTTCCGCAGGACTCAATGCAGCCATGGATGCACAACTCGTTTGGGGTTTCTGACGGCCGATGGGTTTTGAGGCACTTGTTAAATCATCAATTTGGTTGCTGTGAGAAGGGACACACTTGTGAAACAGATCAGCTATGATTTGAATATAAACGTTCCAAATTGCCTCAAAATCTCTCCGAACCTCTCTAATCGGCAGTGGCGGTGGTGTTTTAGGTACGGGGAAGAGAGGAGATCGAGCACGCTGGTTCCAACAACAGAAGAGGTAGAGGCGCTTGGTGCCGTCTATGCACATGGCTTTGCAACGGCCGTTCCGGAGGATGAAATCGTCGCTGAATCTGCCCAATATGCGGTTAAACCTCAACTTACGGGATCGTCACATCCCTAAATATGAATGGTCGTTTCCCTTCCTTTTCTTCTTCTTCTTCAACCCGCAGCTCACCTCCTGCAACTTAGAAAATGCAGAGCTCAAAGACGAACCCTACAACAAGACCACTGCAACACAACAAGACTTCCAAAACCCAAAACCGTATTTGATATGAGACTCAAACCTGCCTCACTGCAGCTGCCGACGAGATGAATCAACGAATAGGTATTTTGTCCATTCATGCAAAACCCAGATATACCAAACCCCTTCCAACAACGGCGGTGAACATTTAGGAATTTTAAAATAATTAATACTCACATGATGTTACATTTACGTAAATGGAGTGTAACTTCCACAAAAAAATTAACGATAAAAAAAATTTTAAACAATTGTGAAAAAACTTAAAAGTATGGTTTGTAAATTTCGTAAATAATAAGGGTAGTTTAAGATATTTACCTATTTATTATTCATAGAGAAATGTTCCGGGTGGTATGTGTCTGTGAGATCGATCGGTGTGAGGCGTATCCAATTCCATCTCTTGATGCAGCAAATTTTTATTTTCGGTGGTCCTACAAGGTGCAGTAGGCCGCTTTTATAATAGACGGTCTAGATTGGTCAAGCGATCCTTAACAAACTATCTGGCGACAGCAGAAGAATGAATGGAAGAATCAAGAAGGAGGATAGCAGAGGTATATTACCGTCTATAAGCTCAAGCCGATAACTTCCGCCCTCTCTCTTTAGTGTAATCGTGTTTCGACTTTCTTATATTTTTGGTAGCGACTAGCGAAGCTTCGACTTTCGAGTAAACGAAAAACGCAGAGCGAAGGGTGGTTTCTTCTGTTTTATCAAAGTTACAAACGAAACCTTCCTCAAAATCCACCGACAATAAGAAGATGAAGTACGGGTCTTCCTTTTATGCTCTTTATTCACATTTTTCCGCTATTTGCAGTAGAAATTTCGTTATTGTACAACCTGTCTGTTCTGCATCTACAATCAATTTTAGTTGTTTTTGTTGTTACTTTTCAATCGATTCATGGTCTGCTTTATTGATGGTTACAAACATGGGAGTTTGATTCGGTTCAGTAAATATGTTGGGTTAAGCACCTCAGTATCTTACCAGGCAAAGAGAGTGAGTGCTAGGGTTTCAGTGTGCTTCGAGCACTTTGGTGCTGCACGAATTTAGTGTTGTTGTCTTCAATGTGTTTTTATGATTTTCGAGAACTTTCATGTTGAGTGACAAACTTCCTTTCCATAGATTTTGATGCTGTGGTCTTGTATTTGGATGTTTCTTCATGTTTAGAATTTCATTTTGGTGTAATAGTTATTTCCGTAACTTCAGTCTTGTTATTTCTATGGAAAAAGCTTGTATTGTGGTTTGAGTCCTATTATGGCTTTTGTAGGCTTTTATTGTTTGCTTGGTTCTTTAGGTCTTTTTTTCTAGTTTACTGCTTATTTGGGAAAGGAAAGCTTTTAGATCCATGTTTGTATGCAGTTTGCTGTGATAATGTTTGTCGGGCCTCTAATGAGGCCTAATAATGACTTTCTGACCTTCCAGAAAAAAATAAGAAACACATTGCGTTTTTAAAAATTAAATCAATTCATATAAAAGACCTAGAACCGTAATCAAACGTATTTCAGATTATTTTTTATATTGATACAACATTGGCAACCCCGAGATCTTTAAATCATTTTACAATCAATATTTTAGTGATTGCATGCATTCGAATTTCTATATTGAAATCCTGTGAAGCATAGCTGTTGATCCTAGGGCAGGAACTAGGTCATTAGCAATGCCTTTTCCATTTAACATGATGGTTTTGATGCAAACTATAAAAGTTATTTTCTTGTTGATTCATGGGCAGAAATGTTATTAGTTGGTTTGCTTGGTTCATACCCCTTTAGTGCACCAGGTCTGCCAAAGGTATCCTTCTATTTTGGTTTGCCACCATATAGCTGTTTAATTTTTTAGTGTATCAATTTTCCTTTTCAAAAAAAAAAAAAAACTGAAAAGGCTCTGAAAGTAATCTGTGGTAAATTTTGTTTTTCTACTTTTGTAGATATCTGAATCTGAATATAGTGGAATTGTTCGGTAATCTGAATATTACAATGTCTGAAAAATTCATTTTACAAATTTACCCTTGAAATTGTTCTTTCAATCACAATAAGTGAAAATGACTAAAATACTATAAAATAATAAAATAGGTTATTAAATAATATTAAAAAGAATAATTTTATAAAATTAATTGGCCTCCTCCTCTCTGCAAATAAACCAACATAGTTCATTGTCTTCCACTTGACACCAGACAGAGAGCAGCGGCAACCTCCCTTCCCTGATCTCTTCCCCTTCCTTCAGCCAATCTTCTTTCATTCTCCCTCTCTCCCTCTCTGTTCTTCACTCTATCAAATTCAAATCACCGAAATCCCTGTTCATCGTCTTTAACCTCTTGACAACGGCAACGAAGTCTCACAAGTCACAAGTGGTGGTAAAAGAGGTCAACCTCTTCCCGTTTTGGATTTTTAATCATTGAAATAATATTCCTGCAATCTTTCCTCTATTTTCTTCTTCAACCAATCATCCCCTTCCCCTTCTTTGTTTGGTTTGAAACCTCGCCGTCACCACTGCAACCTCTGGCAGTGGTTACTCTTCCCAACATCTTTCTCTTCCCTCTCCAATACCAGATTGTACTACTTGCATCAAGTGGTGAAAAGCGACACAATGGTGAATCTGAGAAGGTATCCTATCCCTTGCATCAAGCGGATATCCTGAAGCACATTGCACGAGCGAAGCAGGCCGTCTTCTCTGATGAATCAAGGATGAACTACCTCCAAGAAGACGTAGCAGATCATCACAGTGAAGCACATCACGTTTGCTTTCTTGATTCATCAGAGAAGACGACAACCTGCTTCTCTTGGTCTTCTCATCGCAAACAAGAGCGTTTATTTGGGGGTTTCTTATTTTTCCTGATTTCTGCATAAAATTTAAAATCTCATCCTCCAAAGCAGGAGATCAATTGCCAAGGGAAGAAGACAGGAGGGTGCAGTGGGGAAATACATTTTGTCTGCTACCTCTGAACGCGCTCAGAGGTAGTGGGTCCTCTGAATAAATCAGAGGCATTTTCAGTGTTCGGAGGGTCATTTCAGAGACACTACCGAACAACCCTGAAGCGCTGGAAAGTAAAAATTTTGGTGTTTGGAGCTCAGTTCAGCGCTACCAAATGCCACCTAACTATTAGGTATACATGCTTTAAGTTATGAGTGATCGTGATACATGCTTTCCTTTGTTAGGATTTTCAGTCATGATTTGATTGATTAAATGCTTGTAGACAATATTTTAATGTTGAATAAAGGAAAAGAATTTATTAATTTCCCTTCCTTTTGTTTTTCAATTAGCTTATCACTTTCATGAATGAATCTAACTAAGTTACCTTTTATTTAGTGATTTGATTTGTATTTCATTCATTTAAAGCAAGGCTCAAAATATCAATACAATACACCTTGCATTGGTCATATCATATTGTATCTTTTAGTCACCCAAAAAGTTTATATAAGGAGTATGAATATTTTAATGGATTTATATTTTAAACTAAAATATGTATTGACAGACCCCCTTGCCAATTTGTTAGACAAAATAAAAGAAAAAAGTAGTTATGATGAAATGAAACTCTCAATACACAAATTATGCGTATTGAGAGGATCGATGCCATGATTTAAAGTAGCCTATTTACGAGACAAATTTTATTAAATGAAGTTATTATGAACCAACTTGCAAATTGATTCAAGTCAAACCAATTCATAAATTACATCCATAAGTAGCAGCTTAGGTGACTACAGGTAGAAAGTAGAGACTCTGTGAAGTGTAAAACTAATTTGTTGTTTATAATATAATGAAATTACATCTCCAGTCCAGAGCTTATTGAAGCAATACTATTCATTCTGGCCAGCTTGAGTAGGAAGTAGGAACAGAACTAGGAGCCCTCACCCCTCCCCCTTGAACTTGATGGTTTCCAAAAGGACAGTCTGTGCTATGCCACCATAAACTAAACTGATTCAGCCAATTTGATGTTTGAACTTGATTGAGAGGGGGCTCTGGAAGAAAATTTGGTAAGTGAAAAACAGGACAGGAAGCATGTGTGATGGAGGTGTGTCTAGCCAGGTTGACCAGTTTTCCCTACACTCTGGTTTTCCTGGGGAGTCTTTCTTAGGTCAAGGATATCATAGTTTATCCAACCAGCAATGGTATGCTCAGTTAACAAAAATAGTTGTCAGATTTCAAGGCCCTTCAATATCTAGTGTTTATATCGTATAGACATATCCTTTTACTGACATCTGTCTATCAATTAATTGCTTATTGTTGATACAGGTTTTAATATTGTACTTATATTTGGATTGAAATGGCTTAACTATGTAGTTTTTATTGGTAGTATTTCTAATCTACCTTTTTGGACTATCTGTTTTAGCCGACATCCATCAGTGAAATGGGCCCAAAGGTCTGACAAGGTCTACATCACCATTGAGTTACCGGATGCTAAAGATGTTAATCTCAAGCTGGAACCAGAGGGCAAATTCTTTTTCTCTGCTACCAGTGGGGCAGATAAGACACCATATGAAATTGACATTGACCTGTATGATAAGGTTGATGTGGATGTAAGTATTCTAAGTGGAATAGCATTACCCTTCACTTGCTATATGAATGAATCCAGCCATCAACCAAGAAAAATGTATTAATAAGCATTATTGCAGGAGAGCAAGGCTAGTGTTGGATTAAGAAATATATGCTACCTTGTGAAGAAGGTAGAGAAGAAATGGTGGAGTAGATTTTTGAAGCAAGAAGGGAAACCTCCAGTGTTTTTGAAAGTTGACTGGGACAAGTGGGTTGATGAAGATGAGGAGCAGGAAAGTAAATGTGGGTCTTAACTCTCTTATTCCTATTGAATATTCATTTTCTTCACATGCTTTTTCTTATCCTACTTTTGTAATCTAATTTATCTGGCAATTGGGATTGCAGCTGGAGCTGATATGGATTTTGGGGATTTTGATTTCTCGGTATGTAGAGAGTTAGCATGTTAGATATGGTTGATGTATAGCACGGTGCCTCATGATTTCTCTTTCCTGCCTGCAGAAGTTAAACATGGGAGGTTCTGGACCAGAGGGCTTTGATGATGCTGCCGAGGATGATGAAGGTTAGTCATGCTAAGTAATAGAATATTATTCCAGATTTGCCTGATACAAATGAAATACTCGCTCTGTTCTCGACTGCAGAAGAGAAATATTTCTTCCCATCAATTCCCAACATGGCTTCACAACGTGCAATTTAGCTCACCTAAAATTCTAGTTGTTGGACTGTTTTTTGTGTGATTTACTAAAAAGATAGAATCAGTAATTGGGTGCTTACTGCTTAGGATGCACAAGGTTTTAGACGGAATGCCCACTGGGAAGATGAGATGCTTCATCAATCCTACTTTTCAAACTTGACAAGTGTTACGCTTATTTGGTTGATGATTTTATCTTTTATGTTTGATCCACTTGTCTTGGATAAAATCTCCAATTCCATGGATGGAAACAACCACCGGGGACCGGGCACAGAGAGGGGCATAGGCTTTTTCTTCTTTCTGAGGGGTTTCGTACAGTAAAAGTAAAAACACACTACATGAACCTGGGGGTAGCGCATCATCTAAGTCCTCAAAGTGTTTTTTTTTTATTTTTTGGGTAGAATGTAGTCCTCAAAGATGACCCTAGCTAGTCTATCCGGGATATTTTATTCTTGTTGAGCCAATCCCAGTTTGTGCCTGTGCTCGGTGACAAGACCTTTGACTTTTTTTTTTTTTTGATAAATAAGGCCTTTGACTTTCTCCCCTTGTAGTTTTGTTAATTGAGTTTGGAGGCTCCTTCCAGCTCCATCTTCCCATTTCCAAATGCTTACAGTGGTGCGAATTGCTTCACGGTTCAAAAACCGATTTAGTTTGTCTATGATCTTGCTTCAGTAAGCTATATTTGTTTGTCACCATAATCAATAGATCTTACTGGGGTATTTAGTTTTGATTCTAAATTTATAGATGTTACTTAATTGGGTGATCGGTGCCATTTCAACAGATGAAAGTGATACTGAAGAGGTGGAAGCCAAAGATGCCAAGGCAGTTGGTGATGAATCTGAGGCAAAAGAGTAAACCATGCTTCCCGAAATGAGCATGGTTTTGCACCTCATGCGCTATGAATGACAACATACTCTCTGTAAAGAGCATAAGTTTTGTTCCTTAACCAAATCTTTTTTGTCTAGATATCACTGATATTATGAATTGGGTAGATTGGATAAAATGGGGCTTTGAATCCCGAGTTATTCAATATAAACTGCATATTTTTGAGTTTTAAATGAACCCACTATATTTTACGTATAGAACTAGGAGCCATCCTATATGGCTGGCAATTATTTCAGGAGTTGTTTGTTTGTTTATTTCATGATCTTGGCGGGAACAAGGCTTGTTTCTTTCTCTCCGTCAGCATGGACAAGCAACTTGACCCAAGGGGACCAGCACTTCTACTCCACCGAAGAGCCGTTCACAGCTAGAAGGGATGTGAACGGTGGGGGGGGGGGGGGTCAGAAAATTGGCCTATTCAGAGAGATCTTATGATCGATATTGGATATAGACTCTCTTTCCATATTCTTATTCTAATAGAAGGGTGACTTAGTCAATTGGGGGTGGGACCTGTTCGCATAATACACTGGAACGTGGGAAATCCATGTCTCACATGAACCACTATTAACAACCTCCTTTAGTGGACAAACGATTTCCGCTGAGGCCTATGGATGGACCCTATTTTTAGATATACGTGTCGGCCCTAACTAATAATAGAAATTTAAAAGAACTATCGAAATATTGGATATTGACAGCAATGACGTCAGGCAGTGTATAATGTAGGTTTGTGTTATATACCCTTTTCAAGCAATATCGCCGGAGTGCCGCTCAAAAGAGGAGTCCGGATCTCCTGCCCACGTTCCTCAAAGAGTGCTCAAGAAGAATTTGGATAAAATGTAGAATGTCTTTCCTTATTGGTCTATTGCTGAATTCTGCATATTGTAGACTCATACCATTTGTTATGTGACTTGGGCTTAGTTTGGAAAGAGTACAAATGCAAATATGTACACCATAAATACATACAAAATAATATAAAATGTAAAATTTTGCACTCTACATATTTGCATTTATACTCCTTCCAAACTCAGCCTTAAGAGAACTCATCTCTTAAAGCTAGCTTTTAGAGGGAGGAACCCAAGAACATATTACCCCACAACATCATCCCATACAACCAATGTGGATTCCTCACATTAGCATCCCATACTAGTAACATGGGACAAATGGATCATAACATAAACATCATTCAGTTGTTATTACTCCAACAGAAATGGGGGTTGGGTTCGCCTTGCTGCCAGTTGGATTTCCCAAACCTTAAAGCAAAAGTAGAGCAACTTATGGAGCTCTTTATGCTGATATTTAAAACTGGATTGCTTAGAGTTGCAACCGGACGAGGAAAATGAATACAATTTTTTTACCAAATATATAAACGTGAAATTATGACTAAAATCCACTTAATAATTTTTTTTTTTAAACTTCACCATAAATTAGGGGTGAGCAAAAAAACCCAAAAAATCAAACCGACTGAAAAAACCGACCGAAACCAAACCAAAAATTCAGTTAACCAAACCAGTTGATTCAATTTCAGTTCAATATTTTAAAAAATCAGCGGTACCGGTTCAGTTTCAATTAATCAAAATAGAAAACTGACAGTTAACTAAACTGACTAATATACATATATTTATATATGTTTTATATTTTCTATACATTATAAATTAATAAATATGCATTATATATATTTATAATATATAATATATTATTTATTATTTAAAATATAATATTATATATTTCTAGTATTTTATTATATATTTATATATTTTTCTATAATAAATATTATAAATAATAAAAAAACCAAAAAACTGACGATTAACTGATCAGCTTCGGTTCGGTTTCGTTACCGATTTTCCAAAACCCAGTAGCCCTGATTCGGTTTCAAAAATTAGCCCATAAATTCACTCCACTATCAAATTCCCCAATATAAAATCTTTTTTTTTTCAACTGTTGTACGCCTATAACAGATGGCCAATTAGGCAACCTTGTCATACGGTCATCAGAACCATGCTACGATTTCCACAGTTTGTGATGAATGAGATACAATGGACATTAGTAAGCATTTTCTGTACGTGCTTTAGGCCTATGGCCCGAATGAAGACAACCCTTCATTGTTTCCAAGGCTAAGGATGACATTCTATTTATAGGATTCCAGACGGTTGAAAGGTTATTGATAACAATTAGGTTATGTTTCGTTTGAAAGAAAATAAGAGAAACAGAAGGCTGACGGAAATTCCTGGAGGAACTCTGAAATTTCTTTCTTTCAAATTTCTTGTTTCTCTTATTTTCTTTCAAACCAAAAACAACCCGACTCATGCCCCTCGTAGAATGAATCTTCTACCATGGATTCATGATAGAGCCGCTACACATATTTTGCACAAATACTGTAAACATGTAAAACTAACTGTGATGTTTTTTTCTTTTTTTCTTTTTTTTAACTAGATAACATGATATTTATGAAATAGGGATACAAACAACTTGTTTATCCATCTCTTTACATGCCCATGGTATTGCCCTTAGCTGCTTGGCAGTCTCATCTGCACCACTTCAGGAGACGGCCTAAGAGTGCAGATCATCTCTTTCGTCTTTCCAAAATAGACCTGCCATTTACAGTAGTGAATTAAACTCATCGATTCAGAATCTACTTTGAAAGACATCCATACATGTTACATAGCAGAGAAACAAATGAAACCGAAGGCCAAATAACATGTGTTATGGGTTTTACAGTGCTAGTACCGGGAAACAAGGTAGGGCCTTCACAACAAATACAGACAAGATAATCAAAATAACGGGCTGGTGCTTACTTGATCCAGGGAGTTTCTCAGCTTACTCTCCATTTCTTCGATCATCCTTCCCATGTTACAGAGGTGACCCTCAGCAACTGGTAGATCCATATTCATCTTCAAGAAACATAAAATAGTAAGTATTCTTACATTTTCATAATACAGTGGAGCATGGCTCCAAGTATCAATTTTTGTGTATCATTCAATTCAAAGTGATGATCCTCAAAAAAAAATAATTTCAGGTTTCAAGCTTTGAACTAAGCCACCTGTGGTAAGGGTATTAACTATTAAGCACTGAAAATGGCCAATGCCCAAAATCCACATATTCAGCGTTTTGGTTACCCTGAAAACCAATACGTATGATGCTTTGAACCTTGCAGTGGAACACTTCTGTGAAAGAAATGTCACCCACCGACTACGTGCCCTCACAACATGCTTGGGGACTGGGGCACATGCACATGCAAGTTTATAAGCATTGTTGTTTGGTAGGTTCACTTAACTAAGGCAATGACTATTAGGCTAAGTTTGGGAGTGCTTATTTTGTTTTGATCAGCTTCTGCGATTTTGTTCAATTCCATCTTTTTATTTCTCTGCTATTCAGTGTCTCCTTTTAGCAGGGATCTTCCATCAATTTATTTTTTGGATAAACAATCTTCCTTCAAGGTATTAATGAAAGAATTCTGATTGTTATTAATTAAAGAAAGAAACTTAGACTTCGCAAACTAGATCATACCAAAATTACTATTTAGGGCTGTAATCAGATTGGGCCCAGCTACATCTGCATCCGGTCTGATTATCAAATCTTTGGATCCAGATCTGATCCAAAATCTGATATGTCGGTCTTGGATTGGATTTTGATTTAATCCACAACCATTTTATTGTGCACAAAATGACAAAAAAAGTTTTAAAAAAATTAAATAATAAAATGTTGAACTTGTTAGTTATACTCACATAGTTATATTACGCACACATAATAATAATTTTTATTTTTTAATCAGTCCCAGATTTTAATCTGATCAGATCATTAGCATCTGCATCCAACCTGATTATTAATCGGATGCAAGTTATGACATCCAAATCTAGGATAATCAGATAAGATGCCAAATTGGGTATCAGATTTTTGGAGTTGATTGGCAGCTCTAGCTGTAATTGGATCGGATTCAGCTACTTATGATTACTGGATCATAATATCGTATACACAATGGGCCTTTTCTGAACATTTCTTATTTCTTTTCTTTTTCCTTTATAGGATTTCTTTCTGCGATCCAAGTTCAGAAAAGAACAATAATAAAATGATGACTTGTATACCACATCTCTAGTTCTCTACATATTTTGAAGAACTTTGACTGTTAACTGAGACAAAGATAGTCAGGAAAAGTGAAACAGAGGAACAGGCTCATTTGATCTGAGGAGATCATGCTACACAACTCCCAAGTGGTTTAAAGCAGAAAACGCTGAAGAAGAAAACAAGCAATTAAAGATGAAAGCTTCCTACTAAACTATTCCAAATGATGAAATACCTGCCGTCTTATTGATCCTGATAAACTGAATGTGCTTGCCGACTCTTCATTCGTGGTCAATGATAGCATGACTGTACTGGTTAAGCAGTAATGAGCCATTCCATCTTCCTCTGCTCCTACCTAATTGGAAAATTTTAATCTTACAAAAGAATCAACAGAAAGGATAACAAAAAGAATGACTAATAAATATTGCTTCTAAGTATCAATACAATGGTACCCACCTCAATTACATGAATAGCATCCCATAAACCTTCTTGCAAGTAACCCCTACGGCCCTGACCTGACCTTGAGCCATCTTCAACAAGTAACTACTACATATTAGAAAAAACAAACTTTTCCATTTCTTCTTTACAGGTAGAAACATAGTTTAATTTTCTCTGTGCAGGCATATTGTAAAACCTAACCTTTCTTTACTAAGAAGCATGCGACAAAACCTTCATTGTCATCCTCCCACACATATACTGATGAAATACCACCTTCATAATACCTACCAATTTAGTGGTTAAATTTCTATTACTTCCTCGGAAACAGAGGTGTTCCTTAAAACCTTATGCAAGCTCTAATTACATTCCAGCAGGCAGAATAGAGGCGCACCTCAGTAAATGGTATTTTAGAATAAATAAAAGTAATCACCAATCAAAAAAAAAAAAAGAAAATAATCAAATGTTCATTTATTCTTGAAACAATTTATTATCAGAACAAACTCAAGGGCGAGGTAGGTCAAGGATCTCACTGGTCACAATAAATTGCAAAGACGCCATTTGCTTCAACTTCAAGTTTCCTCAACTCTGGAGATGGTTGCTGCCCATCTCCCAATGGCGGATGATATTTGTTTGACCAAGGTGATCTACGAAAATTCATCGATTTATAAAATGTCTACGGGAAACCAGAATATCTCAATACCACTTTCAGGAGCAACTATTATTGGAATGGTTGGCAATTACCTATAGGAATCTGCATCTCTATTGTAGTCACACAATATGAACTCTTTTCCACACTCCATATCGTAGGATACCTGTTCTCTTGGTCCAAAGAAGATTTAAAATATTAAACAGAAGAAAGAGTAAAAGGATTAACCTTCCTTCCAGAAGAAAGAAGCTAGAAATAAGCCAATTACAGGAATTGAGTGGGAATGCAGATGAGCCAAATCAGTGCAAAACAAGGTAAAAGCGCTTGAATATAGCATTTGTTGCCTTCAACTTGTACTTTCATAACAGGGAAAAGAAAAAAGACAAACACACCAAACATCAAAAACCGCAACAAGTACCAAATTTTAAAAGGATTCCTCTTTTCAAGCTAACTCGAGACAGTGGGAAATAACATTACAGTGCATTCAAAAAAAAAAAAAACTACATAAACCAAAATATGAGAAAGAAAGATAAATAGGTTGAGAGGGACGGGCGGGCCTATAAAAAGCAAAACTGAGGCAGATTACAACTAACAACAGTGAGTATTGATCAAGCAATCAACCAACTCACGTGAACGGCATCATTTTGCACAAACAAGCCAAATAACCGAATAACAAAGAGAAAGCGAAAGAACTCAAAACTCTATGAAAAATTAGAAATAAAGATTGTACAAAAGTTGAAGGGAGAATAACAACTTGGATTAATTTCTTCAAGCAAGGAAACTCCGTAAAGCACGAACCGATCTAGCAACAAAAACCAGTCAAATGAGACAGTACTAGAGAGCTGCAAGAGAACAAAAACGAACCTGGAGCGGCTGATCAACTTGTGAGAGGAGATCTGAAGAGTGTTGAGGCAGGAGACTCAAAAGGGCAGAGAGAGCCGTGTCTGTGTGCTTTGGGTGGATCCTTCGCATTAAGTCCATTGCGGTCTCCATTTCCTTTTACAAAGAGTGCGCAGGTGAAGGTGCGTGCACTAGATAAGATTTCTCAGAAAGAGCGGAGAAAGGAAGGACTCCGCAAGTTCAAAGCAAAAGAGAGAGAGAGAGAGAGAGAGAGATTTCAGACAAGGCGCGCGTTCTTTGATCCTGAGCTGCTCTCGCGGGAACCGTCTTTTATACCTTGAGATTTGTTTTTCCTAAATAGGTCAAGAGGTAAATCGCGAAACATACTATTAAGGTGAATCTCGAGGAGTCAAAATGCTAGTAACCGTTGGATGTTTTGGTTACAGTGATCATTGGCGACAATGACTGAAAAATCGCCTGATAACACAACGGGCTGTTGCCTGCAACACCTTCTCAGGTGATCCATTAATGCCACGTGGCAGATGCAGCCACTCACATTGAAACTCTTTAACTACCAGTAGACTTTCGTTCCTTTTAAAGAAAAGGGGACTGGTCCTATTGACGGTGGATGTTGAAACCACCTCATCCAGATTACAGCCCCGCGGATTAGTGACGTGTTAACTTCTGATTGTCTTTGTAGGTTGTACACGAATTGATTGACTCTCGCTCGCTGCATGACACGTTGGTTAACCCTAGAAGACCCTTACTGGGTGAAGAAACGTGTCACATAGGCAGAGCCCGCTTGACAGCCCAAGCTGTTTTTGGTTTAATAATTCTGAAGACCCTTACTTGACAGCCCGCTTGACTCTTTCTGCTGGACGATAAACCAATAATAATACACCACGTAAGCTTTGTACACGTGAAATCTGAGTGGTATTAGGCTGTGTTTGGTTTCTAAAAAAATATTAAAATCAATTAAAGTTTACAAAAATGCCTTTGAGACATTCTAGTTCTATGCTTGGGCCATTTTAGGTTTGATGAGTGGGCTGCTTCTGGCCCATATAGACCCATGAATTATGAAAGCAAGGAAGAGTGAAGGGAAAACAGGAACTATATATATATATATATATATATATATATATAAAAAGAAGAATCGAGTGGTCATGACTCATGAGTTGTTGTGCACGTTATAATCAAATCATGGCCAGCATGAGTAATACCCTACTTATGACCTACGATCCAGCAAACAAGAGGAAAAAAGATACGTTGCTTTTCTTTTCTTTACTTCTCCTATCCTATGTTATTGCTATTATTATAGCATGAACATGCCCAGTTGTTTTTAAGTCATATTTACCCGAAAAAATAAAAATATCGCACAACCAAGCAAGCTATAAAAAGTAGGCAATGCTGAGGTTATTTATTCATGCAGCGCAGAATAGCTCTTTTGATCAAATTGTTTTATCGTTATCGGCCTCTGGATTTGGAAAACGATTCAGCCTTGTAAAGATGATTGCAACCATTTACAAAATTTTGCTGATAATGGACCAAACCAAAGGAGGCAGTGTAGGAAACGTGTATGATTCAATTAGGCCCATCCAATTTTGGAGTCCATACGACCCACACAATCAGACAATTCCTGGTCATGTTTCTACAGGCTATTCCAGGCCGAATACAAATATTAATACTGACTGTGACTGAACCCAATTTATCCGTTTGAACCAACTTTCATCAGAACTTGATTGGTTCAACGGACCAGGTTATATCAGAGTTGATTGATTTTATAAACTCCTATTGGATGGTTGGACGACCAGTTGACTGCTTCCGATGATGACCATGTCACCTGGTCTGATAATTATTTTCTCTCTTTGTCCAGCCATATTTCCTTTTTCCAGTTTTCTTTTCTCTTTTCATGTATGTGATGGATGAGTTGGCCAATTCACCTACTTACACCTCTCTCTCTCTCTCTCTCTCTCTCTCTCCTATTTTCTTTTCCTTCAATCATGCATGATTGAGTACCGAAGCCAATTTTTCGGGTTGGATTCGGACTAAGCCGGTCCGAGTTGCACCTGTAGTCTTAAACTCATAGCTCCATTTCTAACCATTGAGTATTGATGCTCCTTCGCAATCACGTCTGTCGATTGATACTTTGAACCATGTCCATATCATCTTTTCCTCGAGTCCCATAGCTTTTACTTTTGACTTCTTTATAGAACCAGTGTGAAGACAAATAAGCATTTTCAAGGTGAAGTGGTTAGTCATGAATGAATTGAGAGATAGATGTCAAGGGAGGATATTTTAAGTTCTTACTCTTTCAAAACTTCGTATAGGGAAAAAAAGTGACAATTAGAAAATATTGTCTAAATATGTGATAATGTTCGTCGAAATTATCTCTATCGAAAACAAAATAAAAAGTCATGAAAATTTGTCATTCCTATTATTCAACCTCTTTAAAAAAAATCTAAATTAGAACCGTAACAATCCGGCTTTATTTTATTTTGTTTTTGAAATTGGCTATGAATTGCCTACGCATTAAGGAGAACATGATCCAGAAAAGCCCAATTATAATAACAATCAAAACAGACACAACACAAAAGAGATGGAGAGAAAGATGATGATAGTTGGGCTTCGGAGGCTGTTTGGGCCCATATATCGTATGGACCTCCATAATTTGCCACTAGGGCTCATGTGATCTACAAGGGAAGAATTGTATAATCTTTTGTCGTTAGTGTTTATATTAAGGCTGCATTTGGCATTCCTTATTTTAAGGATTTATCTTTTTTTTTTCTGTTAAAAATTCAGTATTTATAGGGGCATTTTAATTGTAAAAAGGAAATAAGTCCTTAAAATAAGAAATACCAAATGCAGCCTAAGCGTTTATTGAACTCATCATCTTATTAGAAGCTAAAAGCACTTGAGAAGCGTCAATAAAAATAAAAATAAAATAATAATAATAATAAGTCGGAACTGGCATTTGGTAAAGAAAGGCTCGAAAAGCAGTTTCTCACCCCAAACAGCCCGTTGAGAATAAGTCAAAAGTTTTGGGCTTTTGGCTTCTCACATTTTGGAGAAGCCCTTTTATTTAAAAAAAAAGACCATTTGAAATGTCATACCAAACACTGGAATGTGCTTATCTAAATAAGGACTTAATCCAAAAAGTGCTTGCTTAAAAGCGCTTTTAGAAAAGGAAAAGCACTCCCAGACGCAGCTGACACCCATCGGCTAGATGAGTATGATCAAACCACCTAGATTCGAACTTGTAATCATATGTTGAAGCTGATTACTTAGCCCAGCTAATCTCATACGCAGATTTGTTCCTCACGCTAGTAGCAACCCATCAAGATATGGCCATAATAAGCGCAAAGTATGGGCCTCATCTGGTACGTAGGGCCCAGACTTACCATAGACGTTATTTCCAACAAAAACAAATGCAATACCCAAAAGCCTTCTAACGACTAACAAGGAATGCAGCAGTGGACCAGGCATATCCTTTGTCTAGGCCTTAGGGAGGCGACGACAAAGCAAAAGGGTGGAAACTAACGGATCAAATCAAATAGATGGCTCCACATTCTCAGCCCCCCTAACGATTGAATCGCTCGGAGCGTTTCTGCCCAATTGCTGAGGCGAGAGGAAATCATTGATGCAATATGTTATGTTGTTCCAAAACTCTGGGCTTTGTATGAGATTCATGCTTGCTGAACGTCTCTCATGGATAGTTTGATTCAGAGTCTTGTATCCGTTGGACCGTCGTCTATCTTTTGTTTTTTTTTTTCTGTTTGATTTCTTCTTCTTCTTCTTCGCCTTTCTTCCTTTATTTTTTTATTTTTTTTTTCCGTTTATGTTATGTGATAAACTCAAGGGCAACCCAAAAGGGCCAATTTGGAAATGCATTTCCATGGGTCCTACCTTGTATCATTGTCTTTTCGCCACGAGCTGAAACTTTCCGAGACCGGGAGGAATGGGCCCTTTTGGGTCCCCAGCCCATCTTGCACCGCCGAGGATTCCTTAGAATTATCTTTCCTGAGTCTGTCCAAGGGCCCGTTTGGCTCTCAACACACCAGACCTGATTCCTATTCAGGTTTTCTTGCTTGAACATGAATCTGTTCCAATACTTTGGGGTCTATTACAATATTGGGTAGTCGGATTTTTATGGACTCCTTTCAGAACTAGAGCTACTACAGTCAGGAGGATTGAAATAATGAAGTAAGAAGTTCCAAATGTACAAACAATTTTTATACGTGTGTTGTGTTCAGATGATCACACCCCACTAGAAACGGGTCCCACTTGCCAAGTATCATCTTATTTAGATAGATTAATTTTTGTACTGTTTGATCTCTTAGCTTTTGATTGAAGTTCTTTGGGGCTCTATTGGATAATTTCACAGAGGTGAGATCATCTGGCCGTGCTTGTTTTAACCATGAAATCCCGGGGGGGACCGGTGCATCGACTACGCCATTCAATGGCACCTCATGTGCAAGCTCTCAGAGGCATTTAATTTGTTCTTGTCTTTTAGAAACAATCACATTGATTTTTGAGACCCATCAATCCTTCGTCTACTCAAAGCCTGAAAACTAGTTCCGGTTCAGTCATTGAGGCTTGCTTGATTATTGATAAATCAATTTTTTGGTTAATTACCTCGTCATTTGGTCGATGATTCAGAGGCTAAAGTGGAGAACTTTTGCTGGATGAGGATCTGGATGTTGGGTTGATCAGACCGATCTGGGGGCAGATTAGGTGCCGAGTTGACTGAGCCGAGCTAGATAGGTTAGGTGCTGAAATGACTGAACCGAGCTGGGCAGGTTAGGTGCCGAACTGACTAGGCCGAGCTGGGCAAGTTAGGTGTCGAACTGACTGGGCCGAGCTTTGCAGGTTAGGTGCCGAACTGATTGGGTCGAGCTGGGCAGGTTAGGTGCCGAGCTAGGCAGGTTAGGTGCTGAACTGACTGGGCCGAACTGCATATTACGTGACGAGCTGACCAGATGGCCAAGCTCACTGGTGACGAGATGGATTGATTGTTGAGCTTCGTAATGCTTTAGAGACCTACAAGGAATCAATGTTAGAGGACCCAAGGTGGCTAACTCGGCAAGGTCGCTCTAATGATTAAGTCAGTACTCTCATAGTAGACTGCGAGCTAAAAATCACAAAAGTATGAGAGCTAGAATATGCTTACTTGCCCCCCTCATGTCATTGGGGTTGGTGCCTTTATATAGGCATTGTTTTGCGTGGGATTCACGCACCATATCCGAGATTTCTGAGAGGTCGCCTAAGTGGTCCGAGATTCCAGGAGGCAACCGCCATGCACATTGACCACCCTCCGGATTGTTC